AGAGTTTGCCAGTGGATAAACACTATAAGAATAGTTTGTGAGTGATTTTCCGCAAGAGAAAATAGATGCACAGCTTAAGACTCCTTAAGAGACTGAAGACTGAATTCAGATGAACTGTTATCCAAAAGATTTGGCTGTAAATCCAGGCATGCAAGTAACTTTGCAGCTGCGTTACTGGATAAAGTTCTAGAAGGTGTCTTCTAATGTGTCTGTATAGACCCAGCTAATTAACTATATATTTAATTTGGGAAGACATTAAGGAATTGGCTAGTTCTTAATTGACTCACTTAAGAACGTTCTCATTCTTTTCCAGAAAAAGCTAAATGAATGGGCCAGGCAGAACACAAGTTTTAGGAATCTGTGTTTAAGCACTTGGGTAAGGTGTCTGTGGCAGCTGTGCTCTTACTTGGAGAAAATATGCTTTTGGATGTCAGTAGAAACTGGTTGGAACTGAGATGAGAGCCTTAAGTCTCTGGTGAAATCTATATTTTAATGTCCCAAAATCTCCTCTCTCTCCAGCATCTGAAGAGCATATCATTTTACAGGCTTGTGTTCTGGCAGGATGGAATAAACTGCAACCTTTATTCTGACAAGCCTTTCCATCCACTCCAACAAAACTCCCATATTTACTCAATTAGCAGCGGTGTGGAGCCGGCAGTGCTGTTTCAGCCCTGTAGCGGTAGTGGCAGGGATCTGCTGCTGCTGCTCTGGGGCCAGGCTAAAATAGCAGCACCACCTCCACACTGCTGGCATGGGGCAGGCTGGAGCAGGGACAGAAGCTGGTTCAGAGCAAAGATTAGGGTGGAGGGCTGAGGGGCAGGCAGGGGGAGGGAGACTTCAGGAGGGGGAGAGATGGGAGGAAGCGGGGCAGGGACCTGAGGCTGTGGGTGACAGAAGTGGTGGGGAGGGGGGAACAGGGAAAGCGGGAATTGGGGTAACCTGAGGCTGTGGCATAGGGGCTGGTAGGGGGTGGGCAGGCAAGCAGCAGAGGATAGGCTGCCTGTGTCCCTCACTGTCTGCCCCCTATCAC